TCCTGTAGCCCAAATCCTTCTGCCATAGCCCAGATCCCTCTCCTGTAGCCCAAATCCTCCTGTACCCCAAATCCTTCTCCTGTAGCCCAAATCCTCCTGTACCCCAAATCCTTCTCCTGTAGCCCAAATCCTCCTGGTACCCCAAATCCTCCTCCTGTAGCCCAAACCCTTCTCCCGTACCCCTAATTCTTCTCCTGTACCCCAAATCCTTCTCCTGCCACCCAAACCCTTCTTTGTACCCCCCTTATCCTCCTGCCTCTCCCCTCTGCAGCAGCAGCTCCTTCCTGGCCCAGCCAGCTCAGGGCACCCCAGGATTTGTGGGATTCCCCATCCCGGGAGGTCTGACCCAGCCTCTCTCATTCCAGGTGATCCGCAGACACAACCAGGAGGAGAAGCTGCTGTGCCTGGTGCGGCACCGCGCCGGCCACCACTGCCAGAACGCCGTCATCATCATCCTCATCCTGGCCTGGGAGGGCATCCCCCGCACGCTGGGGGACACGCTCTACCAGGAGCTCACCGACACCCTCACCAAGTACGGCAACCCCACCAGCCGCCGCTGCGGCCTCAACGACGAGTGAGTGCCACCGGAGGGGGATGTGGGGTATGGGAATGGGGTAGGGGATAGGGGTACGGGAATGGGATATGGGGTGCAGGATATGGGATATGGGATATGAGGAATGGGATATGGGAATGGGATATGGGGTATGGGATATGGGATATGGGATATGGGATATGGGATATGGGATATGGGGTATGGGGTATGGGGTACGGGAATGGGGTGTGGGATATGGGGTATGGGTTATGGGGTATGGGATATGGGGTACAGGATATGGGGTATGGGAATGGGGTAGGGGATATGGGGTATGGGGTATGGGAATGGGGTATGGGGTATGGGATATGGGATATGGGATATGGGGTATGGGGTATGGGATATGGGATATGGGGTATGGGGTATGGGATATGGGATATGGGGTATGGGGTACGGGAATGGGGTACGAGATATGGGGTATGGGAATGGGGTATGGGATATGGGGTATGGGGTATGGGGTATGGGAATGGGGTAGGGGAATGGGGTGCGGGATATGGGATATGGGGTACGGGATATGGGGTATGGGGTACGGGAATGGGGTACGAGATATGGGGTATGGGATATGGGGTATGGGAATGGGGTAGGGGAATGGGGTACAGGATATGGGGTATGGGAATGGGGTATGGGATATGGGGTACAGGAGTGGGGTACAGGATATGGGGTATGGGAATGGGGTGCGGGATATGGGATATGGGGTATGGGATATGGGGTACAGGATATGGGGTATGGGATATGGTGTACGGGAATGGGGTACAGGATATGGGGTGCAGGATATGGGATATGGGATATGGGGCACAGGATATGGGATATGGGATATGGGGTATGGTATATAGGGTATCGTATATGGGGTACAGGAATGGGATACAGGAATGGTATACGGGATACGGAGTATGGGATATGGGGTATGGGATATAGGGTGCAGGAATGGGGTACAAGAATGGGGTACAGGGTATGGGGTAGGGGAATGGGGTACAGGAATGAGGTACAGGAATAGGGTATGGGATATGGGGTACAGGATATGGGGTACAGGATACAGGGTGTGAGATTTGGGGTACAGAAATGACATATGGGAATGGGGTACAGGAATGGGATGTGAGAATGGGGTATGGGAATGGGGTGTAGGTACGGGATGCAGGAACAGGATGCAGGATCTGGATGCAGGAACAGGATGCAGGAATTGGGTGCAGGAATGGGATATGAGAATGGGACGCAGGGAGTGGGCTGGGGGCTCCCTCCCGTTGCCAGAGCTGCCGTGCACCGGCAGCTGACGCTCCCGCACCGTGTCCCCCCCAGCCGGACCTGCGCGTGCCAGGGCAAGGACCCCAACACCTGCGGTGCCTCCTTCTCCTTCGGCTGCTCCTGGAGCATGTACTTCAACGGCTGCAAATACGCCCGCAGCAAAACTCCCCGCAAGTTCAGGCTGGTGGGAGACAACCCCAAAGAGGTGGGTGATGGAGGTGGAGCAGGGGCGGCGGTTTGGAGCTCCTTTCCTGTCAGGACTCTGGAAATAGGATTCCTTGAGGGGTTTTGATGGGCTAGAGATGAGGAAAGGAAAAGTGGCAGGAATGGGGCCTCTAGAAATCCCAGAGGACACTGAGGCTGGAGCTTGAGTGGCCAAATCCTCACGAGGAATTTAAGCCACGTGCTTTGTGGTGTGGTGGATATCGTGGGGAGGGTTGGCTGCCGTGTGGTGTCTGTGGGCTCTGTCCCCGGTTCCATCCCTGCTGCCAAAACCCCTGGGTGGCATCCTCCTCCTTTCCCTACCACAGGAAGAGCTGCTCCGGAGAAGCTTTCAGGACTTGGCCACCGAGGTTGCTCCGCTTTACAAGAGGCTGGCGCCGCAAGCCTACCAAAACCAGGTCCTGCTCATCCCACCTGGATTGGCTGTGGGGTGCTGCTCTTGGGGGATTGTGGGTGACCAGCTCCTCCTCCCACAGGTCACCAACGAGGATGTAGCCATCGACTGCCGGCTGGGCTTGAAGGAGGGGAGGCCGTTCTCGGGGGTGACGGCGTGCATGGACTTCTGTGCTCACGCTCACAAGGACCAGCACAACCTCTACAACGGCTGCACCGTGGTAAGCAGGCGCCTGGCAGGGCTTTTTGAGGGGCTCCCCTCTAATTTGGGATGCTCCTTTTGGAGGGGCTCCATCCCCAGTTGTGCCACCCTCATGACTCCAGGTGTTTGGTATGGGCACACCTCACATGAGCTGCTCAGGTCTATCAGGGACCAGCATCTACTTTTGTCCAACACAAATCCCATGGGAGATTTCCAAATATCAGGCTGGGGGGATGCCAGGCTGCTGTGGTTTCATGTCAGTGTGGGGAAGAAGTGGGAGGTTTGGCTCATCCAGCACAGGCCACATCCATCAGCGTCCCACTGACAGCACCTGCTCTGGCCAGGTCTGCACGCTGACGAAGGAAGACAATCGTGTGGTGGGGAAAATCCCCGAAGATGAGCAGCTGCACGTCCTCCCCCTCTACAAGATGTCCAGCACGGATGAGTTTGGCAGCGAGGAGAACCAAAACGCCAAGGTGGGCAGCGGGGCCATCCAGGTGCTCACGTCCTTCCCCCGCGAGGTCCGCAAGCTGCCCGAGCCCGCCAAGTCCTGCCGGCAGCGGCAGCTGGAGGCCAGGAGAGCTGCTGCCGAGAGGAAGAAGCTGCAGAAGGAGAAGCTGATGACGCCAGAGAAGATCAAGCAGGAAGCGCTCGAGCTCCCCACGCTCCAGCCAAATGCAGGTAACGGGGGCAGAGGTGAGGTGCTGCCACCCCGAGCCGCCTGGAAAGCGCGTGAGGGGATGGGGATGGGGTTGGGGACTTATTTTGGGTTGCTGTGTTGTGGTGCTGGATGGCACCTCTGTGCCACCTGGGTTTTCGTGAAGGTGTGAATCGATGCCGGCGCACCAGGTGATGGCAGGTGACGCCAACCTGGGCAAACCCATCACCGTGGGATTTCTGAGTCTGGCCGACCGTTTTGGGGTCCTGGCTCCCCTCCGGTGGCTCCCTCGGCCGGCGGGTCACGGGGGCTGTGTGTGCTGTCCCACAGGTATGGCGTTGAAAGGCGGGATACCCCCGCAGCCGCTGAAACCTTCCATCAAGGTGGAACCCCAGAGCCATTACAACGCCTTCAAGTACAACGGCAACGCCGTGGTGGAGAGCTACTCGGTGCTGGGCAGCTGCCGGCCCTCCGACCCGTACAGCATGAACAGTGTTTACTCTTACCATTCCTACTATGCACAGCCCAATCTGCCTTCCGTGAACGGGTTTCACTCCAAGTTCGCGCTTCCCTCCTTCGGGTATTACGGCTTTTCCAGCAACCACGTGTTCCCCTCGCAGTTTCTCAATTACGGGGCGCCCGAGAGGAGCGGGAGCAGCTGGGTCAGCAACGGCTACGAGAAGAAGCCGGACGTCTCGGCGCTGCAGGAGAACCTCAGCCACCCCTACGGGAACAGCAGCNCACCGCCCCGGCTCCCTGCAGCGCTCCCCAAGCCGGACCCAAAAGCGTCTCTCCAGGGAAGGGGCTGCTGTCAGAGCCACCCTTCACTGCCCGCTCCCCCAAACAGATCAAAATCGAGTCTTCTGGTGCTATCACCGTGGTGTCCACCACGTGTTTTTACTCTGAGGAAAGCCAAAACCCGGACGTGGACGACGTCGACAGAACGCCCACCAAGGACGAGGTGCCGCTGACGCCCACCCTGAGCGGCTTCTTGGAGTCTCCGCTGAAATACCTGGACACGCCGACCAAAAGCCTCCTGGACACCCCTGCCAAGAGGGCACAGGCTGAATTCCCCACCTGTGACTGCGTTGGTGAGCCGGGGAGGGTGGCAGAGGTGGCTTTGCAGGGTGGGGAGGTGACAGAAGCCGTGGCATCGGCAGAGCTCTGGTTTCTGGGGAGGTAAGGCCCTCACGTGGTGAAACCCCGGCGCTGCCGAGCTCCCTTTTGGTTTCTGTCCTCCTCTCTTGTTTTCACAGTTGGGTGGAAGTGGCTGTGTCACCCTGGGGGTGGCACTGGTGGCATTGGCTGTGTCACCCTGGGGGTGGCACTGGTGGCACTGGCTGTGCTGGGGTGGAGGGGTTGGATGAGCAGCAAAACCAAAGGGCTGTTGGGTTTTCCTTCTATTTCACTTTAACCAGCTGAATCCCCATAATCCACGGTGGTCCCAGTGCCCAAACCCACCAAAACTCCTTCTCACCTGGTTATTCTTGGTGTTTTCAGCCAAATTGGCTGTTTCAGTTTGCTTTGAGTAACTTTGGTTTGATGCTTGTGCTTATCACTTGCTGCTGGCATGCTGTTTTGTTCACTGGCCAATCCCACCAGGATTCATTGAAAACTCACCAAACTCTTGGATTTGTGAGGTTTTTTTGTGGTTATTTTTGGTGTGCATTGGCTTTGTTAGACTTTGCAGCAAGTGCTGGAGAATTCCTACCCAGTGCTTCCAGTCCACCTCCATCCAAGCGTGGGGAGCTGGATATTCCCTCCCCAGTATTTAGCCTGGACCTGTGTGCTCCCCTGGGAGCAGCAGGGTGAGCATTTTGGGGGGCCTCCACCCAGAGGATGCCCTGGGCTAAGCACAGGCTGCAATTTATTAGTGGGGCTTATGATAATTTGTTTATTTGCTTGTGAATGGCAGCAGGAATGAGCCCAAACCCCATGGAGAGGAGGGAAAGCTTTCCTGGAGCCACTCAAACCCAGCCTTGGAGTTTGCCAGGAAAGGATTTGTTTAGGGGCTGGGAGAGGGGGGATTCTCCCCCTTCCCCTTCTCTGTTTTCTCAGGGAGAAAGAAATGCAGCAGGAGAGGGCTCGGTGCTTTATTGGGCGCGGGAGCTGTTGGAGGCTGGAATAAAATGAGCTTTTTCCAAGCCTCCCATATTGATCCCTGTCTGGACAGCTGCAGGCCAGCTGAGCCCGGCTTTCTCCTCAGCCTGGCTGCCGGCCAGCTGGACATGATGGGAATGAGAATCAGGCTGGTGAGAGAGCAGAGGGATGCAAGCACAGAGCAGCCCTGGCCGTGCTGCAGGGCACATCCCAGCTGGTGGCTTTGGAGCACCCCCGTGTGCTTGGGGCATCCATCACATCCCACCCCAGCTCCTAGAAAGGGGTTTGCTGTGTGCAGGGCTGTGTCCCAGTGTCCTTCTCCTGCAGCCCCAGGATCCTCCTCTTGCAGCCCCAGGATCCTCCTGAAGTTCCAGCATCCATCTCCTGTTACTCCAGGATCCTCCTGTAGCCCCAGGATCTTCTCCTTGCAGCCCCCAAGATCCTCCTGTAGCCCAAATCCTTCTTCCATAACCCAAATCCTTCTTCCATAACCCAAATCCTTCTTCCATAGCCCACATCCTTCTTCCATAGCCCACATCCTTCTCTCATAGCCCAGATCCTTCTCCTGCAGCCCAAATCCTTCTTCCATAGCCCAGATCCTTCTCTCATAGCCCAAATCTTTCTCCCATGGCCCAGATCCTTCTTCCATAGCCCAAATCCTTCTCTCATAGCCCAAATCTTTCTCCCATAGCCCAGATCCTTCTTCCATGGCCCAAATCTTTCTCCCATAGTCCAGATCTTTCTCCTGCAGCCCAAATCCTTCATCCATAACCCAAATCCTTCTTCCATAGCCCACATCCTTCTCTCATAGCCCAGATCCTTCTCCCATGGCCCAGATCCTTCTCCTGCAGCCCAGATCCTTCTCTCACAGCCCAGATCTTTCTCTCGTAGCCCAGATCCTTCTCCTGCAGCCCAGATCCTTCTCTCATAGCCCAAATCTTTCTCCCATAGCCCAGATCCTTCTCCCATAGCCCACATCCTTCTCCTGCAGCCCAGATCTTTCTCTCATAGCCCAGATCCTTCTCTCATAGCCCAAATCTTTCTCTCATAGCCCAGATCCTTCTTCCATGGCCCAGATCCTTCTCCTGCAGCCCAGATCCTTCTCTCATAGCCCAAATCTTTCTCTCATAGCCCAGATCCTTCTCCTGCAGCCCAAATCCTTCTCCTGCAGCCCAGATCCTTCTCTCATAGCCCAAATCTTTCTCCCACAGCCCACATCCTTCTCCTGCAGCCCAAATCCTTCTCCCATAGCCCAAACCCCTGAAGCAGGCAGGAAGAGCCT